TTACCGCAGCTTAGGGTATACAACAATCAGAGAGAAAGCAGTTCAGGGAACACCGCAGACGTACCTACACCTTGGGTTGGGTGCTTAACATATTGTTGTAAATATCCAAGCTTTGAAGGGTTGTTGAAAAATGTATTCATGTGAAATTCACGCATACAATGTTGTTTTAAAAGTTCATTCTAGGAGAAGTTCATGGTAGGAAAAAAAATTATATTCAATACTTACATGATTTTTTTATTAAACAAAACCGACAGATTTTGATTTTCATTTCATAAAAATTATATTCTTTATTTCATTCAGTATTTTTTTCACTATTTTGTTTCATATTTGTTTTTTTTTCAATACAACTATTTTTATACATTTAAAATTTAAGACTAAAAAATATTTTTTTTTTTCATTTTTTTTAATATATATTTATGTATTATTGTTTTTTCGTGTAGACTTATATCAAAACTAAAGGATATACATGTATTTTATATAGTACACTATATGTTTTATTTGTGTCTTATAGAGTATTTATAAGGATATATTTAATCGAGGAGACTACCAATATATACATTTTCAAAAATATAGAAACATTTTTACAAAAAAATATTAAATTACATAAAGATTTTAATTAAGAAATTTTAAATATATTGTAATTAAAATATATAGTAATTAAAAAATTAACATAATTAATATTAAAATTATAAAAATAATTAAAAATAAAAAAATACAAATTATATAACATAACAATATAAAATAAAACTATTCACTAGGAATATATTTCCAAAAACATAATTTCAAATGTTGTCTTTTACACAATCAATTCGTTTTATTTTTACGTTTTTATATACTTTTTTATTTAAAATTCATTTTTGTTATAATTATTTCTCGTTTATTTCTACTGAGGAACATTTCATATTCATATGTACACAATTTTAAATAAAAATTAAAATTTATTTTTTAACTTTTTGCCTTTGAGATCATTTTATTTTTAAAGAAAAAAATAATATTTTGACTTTTAATGAAACTGAATGGAATATAAATCTATCGAAGAGTTAATGGGTAATGTGAAATTAAAAAAAAAAAAACATCTATAAGACCATAATTAAGGCCCAGTGTCTCGGAATAATCTTTCTAGTGGTGGGTCTTTAAAAAGAAAACGAAAAATTGGAACCATAATTGAAAATGTGGGGAAAATATTTATTTTTTTCGCCGAGACATCCCAGGATTTTAGAAAAATATCATTATATCTCTTAGAATTCTCATTTCAGGATTCCAGCTCTATCGGTTCACCCAAAATTTCCAATTTACCAAATTTAGTACCAATAAGTTTGAATTTCCAAAACAACATCCATACCCCAATCCTACACTCCAACAGTAATATTATTTCCAAATTTTAGTGTTCCAGCTCTATCGGTTCACCCAAACCAAAATTGTACCAATTATAGTACGAATTAGTACTTTTCGTACACATAAGTGAACATTTTCCACGGCAATCTCAATTTTAAATTTCCGGATTACTGTTCTATCCGTACATCTAAATTAAAATTGTACAAAATATAGTACCATATATTACTCTATTTGGTACATTTATATATATATATATATATATTTTTTTTTTTTGTTACAATTAACTCATGTATACGAATCGTGCCATATAGTACCTTTCGTACACACTATCAAAACTTTATCCTTATACAAAATTTCAAGTATTTAGCTCATTCCACAATATTGTACGAAATTTAGTACATTCACAAAAACCTTTAGTACATCTATTCTACGCTCCATCAGTGATCCTCATTTAAAATTTAATGGTTCTAGCTCCAACGGTTCGCCAAATACAAATAATACCATATTTAGTACTTTTTAGCACTTTTCTTATTGTTCTAGTGCAAATTTCCAGAACTATTTGGATAGTCAAAATCGATGTTGGAACGATTAGGCATTTCGGATTTTCAGAGGTTAAAATACCTTCCAGAAGAAAATTTTCAATATTTTCACACAGTCCCCATAAAAAGGCCAAGGCCAACTTTATGTTTCCTAATAAAAATATTAGGCCCTGAACTACTTTAGGGTTCGCAGAGCTGCCAGCGAAATTTCGGTTCCTCAGGAAATGAAATATGCTTTCACAAAAAATGCTCAATGTTGTTCCGAATTTCGGTATTTAAAATGTTCTAATTACAATTCCCAACAACCAACAACCAACAACCTTCGGGAGGAATTTTTTCGGTAATTTGGATAAGAAAGCTCCCCTCTTGGAAGAATTTATGTGAAATAGGTTCATATTTCGGCATTTCGGAGATTCTAGTCGAATTTCCGTCAATCGATAAATAAAATATCTCTTTGCAGAAATTTCTCAATGTAGGTCCATGTTTTGACATCATCTTATAGTCCCGTAGTCCGATTTTCGTAATGCTATGTAATTTGAAGGTCCTATCAGCATTTTTTCCAACAGATATGCTTATAGTTAGGCATTTTGGGTTTACAGAGGACAAAAGAGTTGTCTGGAAGAATTTTCTTCATACTTTCACACAGATGTCATATAAATGTCTGGGTCCATTAAGGACCCGACGAAAGCCATAGTCGTAATTTCCAACCACATTATCTGTAATGGGGTATATTTTAGTTTCTCAAAGAACAAAAACCGGAACATTTACAATGTATAGGTCCAGTGTAGGTCTTGGAACAGCCTCATTTTATACCCCTAGTTTTTTTGTGAGTTTTGAAGGTCCTAGCCGCATTTTTTCATACCAAATGGAAGTAAATTGGCATTTATGAGAGAACGAATGTACCATAGGTTTTCCCCGAAATGAATGGTGCTCCAATGTAATGGTATTATCGGAATTTTTAGTTTTATTTTATTTATTTATTTTTTTGCACAATGAGGTCCATTGAAAGTTTTGGAACAGCCTCATTTGAAACGCCTGCCTTTAGGGTTTTGAAGGTTATGGAAGGTCCAAGCCGCATTTTTTCACACCAAATGGAAGTAAATTGGCATTTCGGAGAGGACCAAAGTAGCATAGGTAATTTCGAAATTTATGGTGCCCCAATGTAATGGTATCGTCGGAATTTTTGGTTTTTTTTTAATTTTTTTTTTTTCTTCCACAATGAGGAGGATATAAAAATTTCGAACCATTCTAAATTAACTGTTTTTATTTATTTTTTTTTTTGTATGGTGACTCGAATCGAAGGTAGGTTAAACCGAATGCTCGACTAATACCCTGAAGCTTGAATGATAAATTACAGCTGCTTTCTAGGTCATTTTAAATGGACCTTTCCCAAGTTGTAATCAATTGGCGAATTTTACCTCCCAAATTTCCTTCGAACCCATTGTAAACCCAGCCCAGCTTCCCATTGTTTCCCATTCACCCCAATATTTCGTGTTCTTCATCACAATATTGTTGTTGTTGATGTTTTGTTGAAATAAAAAGAATTTTGTGTTTTTTTACAAATTTTTTCAATATAAAATTTATTGTTTTTTTGTTGTTTTTTTTTTTTAATATTTTTTTCGTATGTTGGTATTTTTGTTGTATAGACAGGGAAATTTCAAACAAAATAGTAAAATAAAAAATAAAAAAAAAATTAAAAAAAAAAATTATAAAAAATAATATGAAATTGTGGATCACTATTTTTTTAAGAGATAGAGGCAAAAAATAAAAATAGTAGATTTTTACAGAATTATTTGTTTTCCAAAAAAATTGTCTTCTTTTTTGGGGGGAGAAGGATGAGGTTTGTTTTGCAATATTTGTTGGTTTTTACTATAAAATATAATTCGTTTGTTTAAATTAAACTATAAAGAAAATTAGCTTATAAAAAAATAATAAACATAAAATACTAAAAAAATTGTTGTTGTTTTTTACAAATAGAGTTTAAGGTCAAATAGTTATTTTTTGGGGTTTTTTTAAATGTTTGTTTTTTTTCCAATTCGTTTGTTTTTTCCTATGAGCTAAACTTAAAATAATTAATATTATTTATATGATATTTATATTTAATAATAATTATTTATAATTATAAAACTAATATTTACATATCTGTTTGTTTGTTTTTGTTTTAAATGCTCTTTGCATAAAAAAGAGCTGAGAGAGAAAAACTTAATAAAAAAAGCTAAATAAAAAAAATAAGGGATTGAGGGGAGGGAGGGGAAAGGGGGATGTGAGGGAAATTGGGAATGGGAGTGGGGGATTGGGTTATTTAAGGAATACTCAGTAAATTTCTAATATATACAATAAAAAATATAATATTTTTTATAAATTTCGAACATGCGTCAAGTGGTTTGGTTTAAGGAGAGAAGAAATAGGTGGTTCGGCACATGAAGGAAAGATTAAAAAGCCTTGTCTTTTTTGTTTGGGGGAAAGAGGTTTTTTTTTTGGTATTTCAAAGAGTCATTTATAAATTTACATAAAAAATCAGCTTTAAATCTTTGGGGAGAGAGGGGGAAGAAATTAAAATTCGAAAATAGTAGAGTTATAGGAATGTAAGGAGAGCGGGAGAGAGGTTGAAAAATAAATTCCATGAGAATAATTTTGTGGTTTTTACTTAATAAAGAATTCCATTTTTTGTTGTTGTTGGTTTTTTATACACAATTAGTTTTTTTGTTATAGTTTAATTTGTTTTTTTATATAAATCAGTCCTTGTTTTCTTTTTCTTTTAAACTTATATAAAAAATAGTATGAGAGAGGGGAGAGTGGGTTGAAGTGAAGTGTGGTAAAAATCTGGTAGAGAGAGTGTGGGTAGGTAGTTCTATTTTTCCAGTAACTATTTTCTTGAGGAATTATTATTTTTATGAGATGTCTTGTTGTTTGTTTGGGTGTGTGTGTGAGAGTGTGGTAAATTAATTAAAAAAATAAACACATATTTTTATAAAAATATTCAACAGCGCTTGGTTTCCTTAAATCTTCATCTTCTTCTTTATCATCTTCGTTTTTCATTTTTTAACTTTACACCTAAATAAATTTGTTGTTTTGCCTACAATTTTGTTTTTGTTTTTCCTAAGAGTGTGTGTTTGTGTGTGTGTGCTTATATATGAGGTGTACCACATACTATTGATCTTTGGCCTGACGTCGCCACACCACTGGCTGCTGAACTTGAGGCAGCCCCACAACCCCCAGCCACACCTTGGGCCGCCAATGAAGGCCATCTCTGCGAACAGTAGGCACTCTCGCCCAAAACTGAGATCCGTTTGCCTTCAGGGCCGGCAACACCCACACCCCCCACACCACCAACACCATTCGAAGAGCTGCCACCAGCTCCATAGTCTTTGGTTGGTGCATGTGCGCCACTAGCACCACCCACAGCACCCATTAGCTGTGAGGCCCGGTGCATTAGCGAGGGATCGGTGTTCAATTGCTTCTGCGATTTGGCCCTTTGCAGAGGCTGGATTTGGCCAACACCGCAAAATTCTGAATTGGCATTGTTGTCGGCGGCATAGTTCGACAGGGCACCACCATACAGTGAGGTGTTCATCAGGCACTCATCCGTTGAGCCCGAGCTGGCAATGTTGTTGACCGACTTATCCCAGGTGTTTTTGATGATGTTGGGATTTGAGTTATCAAAAGTCAGACCGGAACTGCTGCCACGTTTCACACCCAAGGCGGCAACGGCAACACTGGACAAACCCCCGGAATTGTGATGCAATGTGGCAACGGCATTTTGTTCGTTTTGTTTGCGGGCCTCGGCATCATCTTTCTCTTGGTCACGTCTGCGTTTACGTTTCATGCAGAATACCACACAGGCGGCAATGACAGCTACCAAAGGCATGGCCACGGAGAGGATGGCAATCAAAATCACCTGGCCACTGGTCAGGCCATCACTTCTAGGCTTAGCTTGTGTTGTAGCTTCATATTGCCGGGCATCATAGGTGGCTGAGGCATAGGATTCTTCATCACACTGGGGACCACGGAAACCTTGAGCGCAAACACATTCAAAGTAATTGACACGATTCATACAGGTACCACCATTGTGACAGGGCGAGGAGCTGCATTCATCAATGTCGACGGAACAATCCTTGCCAGTGAAACCAGGGCGACAGGTGCACTCATAGTCGTTATTCAAATTTCTGCAAGTACCACCGTTGGCACAGGGTTTGATCAGGCACAAATCCACTTTTTCAGTACACAAGGAACCCAAAAATCCGGGAGCACATTGGCATCTAAATTGATTGACCATATCAATGCAAGTACCACCATTGTGACAGGGATTTCCTTGGCATTCGTCAATGTTTTCTTCGCAAGAGGCACCGGTAAATCCGCTGGGGCATTGACATTTGTGCGAGCCATTAGGTCCTACCGAGCAAGTACCACCATTTTGACAGGGATTGGGAGTGCAGGTGTCAACATGAACCTCACACATAGTACCGCTATAACCATTGGGGCAGTCACATTGGAAACCTTTGCTTGTATCGCGGCATGAACCATGGACACAGGGTTTATCGGCACAAGTGATGACCTTATCTTCGCATAGACGACCAGCCCAGCCCTTTTTGCATTCACATCTGTAGCCACGTTTTGAACCATCTTCGATACAGGTACCAGCATTTTGACAGGGATTCACTTCAGCGCAGGAGTTAATTTCGAATTCACAATCTTGTCCTTGGAAACCGGCAGTGCAGTTGCATGTGTAGAGACCTTCACCAGTGTTGTGGCAGATACCATTGTTCTGGCAGGGCTTGTGGTTGGTGCAGTAGTTCAAATCTTGATTGCAGTACAGGCCACCCCAGCCTTCGTTGCAGATGCATTCCCAGGGTTTGGAGCATGTTCCATGAACACAGCCGGGATGAACTTCACATTCGTTGCATAGAGGTCCTTTCCAGCCAGATTGACAGCTAAAAAAAGAGAGAAGAGAAAAAATGAAAAATTAGTAAAATTTTTGAAAAAGTGAGAAAAAGGAAAACAAGAAAAAGAGAAAGAAGGAGAAAAAGAAGAAAAAGGGGAAAGGGAAAAAAATGGGGAAATTTCCGTTTTCTCCCACACCTAAATTGTGAATTTGTTTTCTCTTTTTGTAAAGATCATAATTTTTAATTAAGACATGAGTGTGCAGTAATGTGAGTGAGTTTTTAAGAACATTTATCAGACCAAAGCCATGTGTATGTCGTTTTGTCTGCCCGGCTCAACAACAACGACAAAAACGTTTTGCAAATGCATTTTTTGTTTTTGCTCTGTGCCATAAATAATGAATGAACAAATGACACACACAGGCCGTTGTTGTTGGTTGCTTGGATGGACAAGGCGGATTGAAGTTGAGCTGACTGGTTTCTGGTTAAAACCATCCCATGTACATACAAACATGCACAACAATATGCACACACATATAGAGGAGACATTAAATTAATCGTGAGAAATAATTTGCAAAAATGGTCACATATTGAAATAATAAAAAATAATACAACAACAAAAACAAAGATAGCTTTCAATATATGAAAATAGAACAGAAGAAATGAAAATATTTTTGAAGAGAAAAAAAATTTAAGAAAAATTGGAGCAAAAAAATATTCGAAAAAACCATTCGTTAAGCTTCATTACAAAAAAACGCCACTGGATATTCCTAAAACCATTGAAAATTTTTTTACCTCAAAAAAAATTTTTTTAACCATCATTTATTTCTTTCACACACACACACACACACTCCGTTTTGTTGGCCCCCAAGGGGGTTTATCTATTTACTTTCAATATTGATTTTTGTTGTTGTTGTATTTTGGGATTTAATGAAGCATTTCAAAAATTTTTTTTCGACTAATGAAGTGATCTTGTTAACAAAATTTGCAATACTTTCAAAATTGTGTCAAATGTATCAAATTGAAGAGATTTTTGTAAATTAATTGAAAAAAAAAATTGTGAAAAAAATTAAAAATAATTGAAATTTGAAGGAGGGCGGTAAATGCTTTGATGTTTGGAAGGCCATGGAGGACACAGAAAACAACAACAACAAAAATATTTAAATATAGAAAATATATCTATATATATATATATATATATATATACATTTTATATTAAAAAAAATATTTTTATATTTAAAAAAATATTTTTATATTAAAAATAAAATATTTTTATATTTAAAAATATTTTTATATAAAAAAAAAATATTTTTATATTTAAAAAAATATTTTTATATTTAAAAAAATATATTTTTGTATTAAAAAAAATATTTTTATATTAAAAAAAATATTTTTATATTTAAAAAAATATGTTTGTATTTAAAAAAAATTTTTTATATTTAAAAAAAATATTTTTATATTTAAAAAAAAATTTTTATATTTAAAAAAATATATTTTATATTTAAAAAAAAATATTTTTATATTAAAAAAAAATATTTTTATATTTAAAAAGATATTTTTATATTAAAAAAAATATTTTTATATTTAAAAAAAATATTTTTATATTTAAAAAAATATATATTTTATTTTTTTAAAAATATATTTTTATATTTAAAAAAATATTTTTATATTTAAAAAAATATTTTTATATTTAAAAAAATATTTTTATATTTAAAAAATATTTTTATATTTAAAAAAATATTTTTATATTTAAAAAAATATTTTTATATTTAAAAAAATATTTTTATATTTAAAAAAATATTTTTATATAAAAAATATATATTTTTATATTTAAAAAAAATATTTTTATATTAAAAAATATATTTTTATATTAAAAAAAATATATTTTATATTAAAAAAATATATTTTTATATTAAAAAAATATATTTTTATATTAAAAAAAATATATTTTTATATTAAAAAAATATATATTTTTTTAATTATTTTTTTAATTATTTTTTTAATTATTTTTATATTTTTGTATTTATTTTTATATTTTTTTTTCAATTATTTTTTATATTTTTAAAAAAAATTTTAAATTTTTTTACAAAAATTATTTTTTTTAGTTTTCAGTAGCAATTTCCATGTCACAAAATTAATAAAAAAAATCCAATAAATTATTTAAAAAAATTACGAGAGACCTCCAACACTTTTTTTTAAATGTTGTTGCTGCTAATTTCAAATAAATGATTTATGCACGATTTTGAAAAAAAAACTATTAAAGCCACTCATATTAGCGATGAGAGACGACGGACTCCACCACAAGAAGTTTTAAGGTGATGGTGGTGGCGCTGAAGTGTGCAGGGTGGCCAATTCCTAACATCGCTGCAGTATAGCTAATGGAGTGTTGCATGAACTTTTGTTTGTATATTTCTAGATAACCAGGCAAGTTTGCATATTATTATAATGCATCGAAGTTTAGACAGACAGGCAAGCAAAGCACTCCTCAATATTGGAAACCATGAAAGAAAATTGAAAAAAAAACTTTGACACACCTTATGCTGCAGTATTTAGTTCTCAATTTTTTTCTTCTTTTTTTGCCTGGTGAGGTGTTGGTGTTTTGAAAAGGGCATTATGCAGTAGAAAAAATCGCAAAAGACAAGTAGCTCTAAACTAATGGAAGTTTTCGAAAAAAAAAAATTGAATGGAATGTTCAAACAGTTTACAATTACATTTTATAAAAAAAAACTACTGCCATTTAAGCAAAAAGTAAATTCCCTCATATTTGTGTTATTAAATCATCGTTTGGAGTAAAAAAAAATGAAAAGAAATATAAAATGTTTTGCCAGGTGTAAAACAAAACCTTTTGCTGATTCAATGGAAATTTCAAAAAGGAGAAGGTTTCAATTCCCTGCTATCATCTTCGTTTTTTTTATTACAGTTTGGAAAACATGGAGCATGTGATTATTATGATTATATTTGAAGAATGTATATGTGTGTGAGAGTGTGTGCGACTGCAGATAATTTTCTGTCGGTTTTTTTTTGTGCTGAAATCTGCAAAAATAAAAAAGAAAAAATAGTTGTGGTTTTGTTTGTGATCTTTTTCCCTTCCCTTTCCACGATGATGATTTCAGCCAAAAAACGGAAATTACCCATTAAACACGAAAAATTATTTAAGCAATTTTTGTTTCAAGAAGAAGAAAAAAAATTACTTTGATCGAGAGGAAGGAGAAATCATTTCACCAAAAACAAAAAAAAAGAGAGAACAGGTGCTCGTCAGAAAAAAAACCAACCTTTGTTTGAACTTCTTTCATTACAACAAAAAATCGAAAGAAAGAATGAAAGAATTGGTAAAAAAGTGGTCTATTTGTTTTTGTTGTGGTTGTTTGGTTCGGTTTGTTCGTTCGTTTGCTTAAAAACGTTAAAGAATCCGCTTTATAGGCCGGGCGCTCGCTAGCTGACTCGAAAAAAGTGTGGGAATGTTTTAATAATTCTACACACATAACATGTCATAAAATCAAACAACTTCACTTACATATTCGACGACGACGACAAAACAAAGCAAGACATTTTATATGACAAAAATTGACGATGACCATGGAGACAAGCAGCAAACAAATCTGATGTCACACTACTTCACATGCCAAGCCAAGAGGAGTGCATGTGTTGTGTGTGTATTAAAAAAAACAAAAACAAAACTGAAATGAGAAGCCTACGGCCAAAGTAGGCTGCTTCTTCTTTAATGCTGACCAATAGTTGTAAACCAAAATGCGGGATATTTAAACACCAAAGTGGTGCTACTTTGTGCGACGTTGTAATCTTTAATGGCTTATGATTTACACAGCAAAAATATGGACAGAAATAAAAAAAATATAAAAAAAAATAAATATAAAAAAAATAAAAAAATATATAAAAAAAAATATATTAAAAAAAATATTAAAGAAAATATTAAAAAAATATTTAAAAAAATTAAAAAATATTTCATTCATTAAAAAAATTTTTCAAAAAAAAAAATTTAAAAAAATATTAGAATTTAAAAAAAATGTTAAAAATTAAAAAAAATAAAAGAAAATTAAATATTAAAAAAAATTAAAAATTAAAAAAAAAAAAAAAATTTAAAAAAAATTAAAATTAAATTAAAAAAAAAATATTAAATTAATCTTTTTTTATAATTTTTTAGTTGTCAAATTTATTTTTAATATTTTTTCAATATATTTTTATTTTTTTTTTTTTATTTTTTTTATTTTTTTTTTATTTTTTTGTTATCTAATATTTGCACACCACTGTATCAACTACAACGCCTTGTTTTAGTGGGAAAAAATACTACTTTGGCCAAATGCAAAGAGAACGCATTTTTTTATTTATTTTTGTTGTTGTTGTTTTTTTTTTATATGGAAAAGAAATTTGCCATAATTATGGATTTTGCATACAAAATTTGTTAATAGGTGAAGGCCCTTTGCAAGAACCAACAAACCAACCAAAGGAGACCCACAATCCATAGAAGTAATAAAAAAAAATATGGGAAAAATTCCCAGAAATTGTGGACATCATTTTCAAATGAAATGGAAAAATGAATTGATATTCCAAGGAATTAAAAAAAAGAATAGTAAATGGGAGGAGAAGGCGGGATAGAATAGAAAAGAACATATTTGAAAATGAAAAAAAAATGTTTTGAAAATACTTACATGCATTGATTTGGCTTATCACAATGACCATGTTCACAACCTTTGGCACATTTGGCTAAAATTAGAAGAAGAAGAAAAAAATTCGAAATTAATTTTTTTGATTTAAAAAGAAAATATTTATATAAAATTACTTTTATTATAGAAATAAAATAATTATATAAAAAATAAATATGTTTGATAAGAGTAATACCAAAAAATTATAAAAAAAATTATAAAATTTTATTTTTAATTTTTTCTATTTTTTTAATTTTTTTTAATTTTTTTTAATTTTTTTATTTTTTTTTTAATTTTTTTTTTAATTTTTTTTATTTATTTTTTTTTCAGTATTTCCCCTGAACAAAAAAAAAAGATTGAACATTTCTCATGGCCAACAAATTCTCAGCCTCGGAAATAAAAAAAGAAATAGATGCCATCATGATCTTTTCGGTGTGTTTGTTGCCAATATCAACAACAAAATGGCCAATAACAAACAACTACAACAACAACAAAAACATGTTTGAAGAATAGGCATCTGGTTTAAAGCCCTTTTTTGCAAACGAAAAAAAAAACAGTTTGGCTTAAACACAAAACGTGCCAAACGTTATGATCATCACCAAGAAGAGGGAAGGGAAAGAGAAACCCCGTCATAATGAAGTTAGGGTATTAGGAGCCTATTCCGTGTGAGTGTGTTAAAGGACTGGTTCGATGTGCTGGATGCTGGGATTTTTCATTCAAGGAATCTTTGAAAAATCTCTGGCAAAACGTGAGACATTAAAGATTCTTAAGAAGTAGAAGAAGCAGAAAAATTCAGGTTTTTGTGTGCGGAGTTATAATTTTTAGTGGCTTGGCTGGATGGCTAGGCTCTGTTGCTTGGCCATGTATGGGTGAGTAGAAGTATTGAACTTTTTTTTAATGCCAATAAAGGTAAAATGCTTTTAATTTTTTTGTTGTTTTTGTCTAGTTATTGCAGCATTATAGAAAGTGAATAGCAGAGCACAGCAGACTGGTTGGGTGGGTTTTTCTTGCTGTTTGGAAGGCTAGAAGACCATGTTTCTTGAAAAAGATTCACACGCCCTCAAGGATAATGGTGATGTGGTGTTGAGCAATGCAACTCATACCCGGTATAATGATATGTTGTGTTATAGGAAAAAATTTAAATTCCCAGGAATTTTCCAATTGGAATTTGTTCTCCCAATCTCTGCCGCCTAACTTTCACTAGGCCTTGAATGTGCTACACAAGAATAAAACCCAATGTGGAGAAGGGGAAGGGGGAAGTTGGCACTTCAAACTTGTTTCTAATTATGTTTGTCTTCAGAGAAAAAAAATCAATTGAAAATCAAACTAAATGAGTCATCAATAAATATGTTTTTGAAAAAAATTCAAATAAAATTAAATTATAATTACGAATAAATATTCAAAACACAGATCAATGAATGAAATCGTATTTTGAAGTACTGGAAAAAAATCATGTCATTATTTTTCTATTGAATAGTTTTTCGGAGTTCGAAGGGAAAACTGGTTTGAAGTTCAAATGAGAAAAAAAGCAAAATCGATCATAAATTAAACAAAGTAGTTACCGAGCATATTTTTTTCGTATTTGAGGAGTAGACATCAACACACCAAAGATTTATGGTGTGTGAGAAAATTTATTTATGGGGAGTTTTGAAATTCCCCCCACCACTCCTTATCCCTCCTGCTCTTTAGGGCCACTTTTTTCAAACAAAAATCAAACAACGGACAGCATCCGTTTAAAAAAGAAAAATATTTGAATGATCCCCCCCGAAAAAAAATCGACAACAACAAAAACCAATAGCAGAACAAAAGAGCTCCGCGCACACTCTCGGGCAACTACCATTCAAACCATTTGTTGTTAAATGGATGTTTAAGCAGCAAACAACAACAAACATGAAAACGACGAAGACAAAAAGAAGCCAGGAGAATCTGGAAAGCAAACAGGCAGGCAGGCTATCCAACTGGCTGGATGTGCAGCAAAGCCTGTTATGCTACCACCATCGTCATCCACAGCATGGAGATCTTGTTCTTTTTTTTTTGGTATTGGCTTGCCGTAAGGAGGAGAGCACACACACACACATAAAAAACATATACTTCTTGGAGTATAAAATAAAAATCTTCCCACGCCCGTATTAGGGCATTTAAAGGGTATGGGATGGGGAGAAGGAGGGAACACCATCATCAGCAGCAGGTAAAAATATGCCTTTACCAAAAAAAAAAAAAAACTCAGAATACCAATACATTACAGTAGTTTCCTGGCCACTAATACAGCAGCCATGGCAGCAGGCACTTTGTTAGTGTAATGAATTCTTAAACTCCTCCAAAAAGCAGAAGAAGCAGTAGAAGAAGGATGGATGGTTGTTTGGGTTCGGATGGATGGATTTGTGCGCGTAGTTTTTTCTTCTTTGTATACAAAAAACAAAAGCCGTGGAAAAAAATCTTTAGTTAAATACCTGTTTTTTTTTACGTGAAAAGGAAGTTTGTGTTTATCTCCAAAAAGAGAGAGGGAGATATTTCTTCTTGTGTGTGACAGGAACCCCGAAAAAAATTTGGGTTCTTATCTCCAAAAGACGAGCTCACAAAAAAAGAATGACGGATGTTGTGAAATTAAGCAAAAACTAACTCAAATAAGGAACAGGAAAAAAATGGAGCAAATTTTTTTCGAAAAATTAAAAAATTCCCAAAGTGGGGAAAAAATCTCCTTAAAGGGAAAAATGTGAAATTGAGTAAAAATCTCTTGAAATTATAAGAGATTATTGTAAAATGTATTCAAATCGAAAGAAAATTGGTTTTTAGAAAAATCCCCAAAAATACCCAAAAGTGGGGAAATTATTTCCAATGAAGAAAATTGAGAAATTTTAGCAATATTCAATTTAAACTCCATTAGAATGTTACAAAATTCCATAAAATTGCAAAATTTTTGAGTTTTGAAAAATCCCCAAAAAATACACAAAAAGTGGGAAAATTTTCCCTAGCCACAAAAATTTGCTATTTTCTATGGAAAATTGCAATATTTTAACATAAAATCGTATAAAAAGATTTAAAATTATAAAAAAAAATCATTTTTTCAAAACCGACCAAAAATTTTCAAAAATACCCAAAATTAAAAAAAATGCCCAATTTTTTTGAAATTGATTTTTCATCAAATTTTCTTAATTTTTTTTTCACTTCATGTTTGGGGGATACTTACGTTTCTCACAATAATCTCCAGTCCAGCCGGATAAGCATATAATTTCACCAGTTTCCGAGCATGTGTAATGGCCAAATTGATCATTACGGGGACGACATAAATTGGCACAGCCAGAACCATAGTAGTGAGGATCACAGGTTACACGAAAATCATATTCCAACCAGGTATATTGAGATTCGGATTTTTTGGTTTTCCATTCGGGTGAAACTTCCAAGACTTGTTGCACCGACAGACGTTGTATCAGTTGACCTGGAGAAGAGAGGGAAGAGAAAAAAAGAGAGGGTAAAAGATTAGTTTAGATAAGACAAAAATTGAAATTCCCATGATTTTTTCATGAGGAAAAAGAAAAAGATTAATTATGAGTATTAGAGGAGCAGATGAGGGTCCAGCCACACACACAAAAAGGAGGCTGGTCTGGTGATAAAAACTGTAGCCCCAAAAAATATTGAAGAAAAAAAAATGCAGGTAAATTGTAGAATAAAAATCCGATTGAGGTGAAGGGGGGTAATTTCAAAATATTTTTAAAATGTTATTGAAGGGATTTTCAAATTAATATTCCAATTGGTAATTGTTGTTGCTGTTGTTGTTATTATTTTTATTATTTGTTTTGTTACATTTAATTCCATGAACGTACTTTAAACACACTCTAAGCACACGTATGTATTGAAGCAGCCAAAACCATCATACCGAGCAACCGGACAGACAGACGGTCAAGTCTGCCACTCCAGTCAGTCAGTCAAATGAATGGTAGATATATGCTGGAAAGACTTTTGTATGGCTTACAATTTGCAACAGCACAGTAATAAAAGACAACAACAACGAGAAAAAAAAATTAACAAAAAATATATTGTTGTTGTTTTTGTTGCTGTTTTTTGGTTGAACAAACGATCGACATCATACAAAAACAAAAAAACCTACTCCGATCGTTCGTCGCTTGTATAACATTCAATATTCAGGTGTTGTGTATGATGAAGCAAGGAGGAGGGGATGGGGGGTATGTTTTTAAGAAGCAACATCTTGGCTTAACTCTCCTTAACGAAAAAAAACAATAACAAAAACAACAATCATGATGCCAATATAACTTGCCATGGTCTATAAAGTAAATTGCAGGTGCATGACTGGCTGCTTGAATGGTTGTTGGTTGCATGTGATGGTGGTGGTGGTGGTGGCATGGAGGTATAAGAAGCGAAAATGAAAATAACAACAAAAGAACACAACATAAATCTCCCGCAATGTTTACAACAACAACACGAACACCAATATATCCACTCGCATACTTATGATGATGTTCAACGAACTATACGAAAAAAACAAGAGGCAACACCGACCAAAAGAGCCTCAAAAAATACAAACAAAAAAAAGAATGGAAGGCAATAACTGATAATGTTGCATATGCTGTTTTGGTGATGATTTGCTTATAAAAACAAAAACAACAACTAACCACTACAAAAATATGATGGTTGAAAAAATAAAAGGGAATTTGAGAAAAATAAGTTAAGGCATAAAATTTAAAATTTTATAAAAAAAAATCTAAAAAAAAAAATATTTTTTAAAGGGACAATTTTAAAATGGATTCTAGAGGTTCTAAAAAATCAGGGAATTTTTTTTTTTTTTTGCTTGAAAATAAAAATTTCCCTTTAGAGAAAATTTTTTTAAAAAATTATTTTTAAAAGAAAATTTTTGAGCTTTTCACGGAAATGAGTTCCCGAGGTTTTAAAATAAAGAAAATTGCCAAAATTTTATTTTTTCCTACAAAAACAAAAATTTCCCTTCGAGGGAAATTTTCTCAAAAGACCGTTACAAATTTTTCTTTTACATTTTTAGGTTCCTAGATAAAGGAGATGATCAAAAATGCTAATTAGAAAAATTTCCCTAAAAATTTCCCAAAAGGGAAATTTTCAAATTTTGTTACAAATGGCTTCTTAATGCCTTAAAATGTTGAAATAAATTAAAAATAAAAAATTTTCGTTGAAAATAAAAATTTCCCTTGAAGGGAAATTTTGGAAAACTATCAGAAAAAAAATTTCATTGGAATTTTTTAAACACAAAACCTTAAAATTATGGAAAAATGTAATTAAAAAAAATTCAAAAAATTTCCCTACAAAGGAATTTTTGAAAATTTAAGAATTTTTTTGCAAAAAAAAAAAATCCAAAAAAATTCTAAAATGTGGTTTGACCACACACACAGCAACAAAAAAAATCAATTGGAATGTTAGCAATGTTGGGTTTCGGCATCTCGTTGTTGTTGCTGCTGGAAATCATATAAAAATTTTTCCTATTTTTTTGTGTAACTTCAAACAAGTTTTGTGGTGGTAGATTTTTGTTGTCAATTTTTTTCAATTTTTTTTTCTGTTTAAATGTCCAACTTAAAGATTAACTAATGGCTTAAATTCTTATAAACCACCTGTTGGAGCTGGCAAAGCAACCGGTAACCACCAATGCATGCAGCCAGTCCCAGACAACTAGTGACAATATATTTTTGTGGAAAAAATAGCAAAGGCAACATGTTGGGTCTGGCTGCCTGCAACCAACCAACCAACCAACGACGACGACCATTAACATTTATGCGTCGCTTTTTTCAGAGGTGGAAAATCAACAATTTTTGCGTGGCATTTTTCTTTGGGTGCTGGCCTAACTCCAATGACGACTGTGCCGTGCCGTTTGTGCCCAATTCAATTGAATTGGCTTTTGCATTGCTTTGTGGTATGACAGGTTATTAGAAAACTTACAATCTCTGGTATATCGGATTTGCAAAATGCAAACAACAAAATTAACGCACTTCTTTCCAGTACTTTGTGTGTGTGTGTGAGAGGTTCGATTTTTTGATAGTCGTCTAACAAGGAAAAGCGCGTTAGAAAACTAATTATAAAAAGTTGTTTGAAATGACAAGTTGAACATTAAAAGAGATTAAATGGCAGAAACCGGCTCAGGAAAAAAATTAAAAAAAAAAATAATTTAGGCTATGAAAAATAAATTCAAATTGGAAAACAAATTTTCAAATCAGAAGACAACAATTTTAAAACAAAAGATAAACCCTAAAATTCTTGGCATTGGAAGAACGAAATTTTTTTCCAATGAAAAAAAAAATCTCCTAAACAAAAATGTTCGACAGGCGTAAAGTTGCAAGGCAGCTTTAAACAGCGAAGGAACGAACGAAAAAAATTGACTGTCCAAAACAAAAAATTGTTATTGGCAACAGAAAACGAAAGACTTAAGCAACAAACCTGTATACCAGCCACACCATCATCAACAGCACCATCATCAAGAGCTGCCACACTCTTCTTCTTCATTTTCTGCGGACTGTGATGGGTCTGAGATAATGCTGATGGTGGCGGGTCTTCCGTTGCAAAAGTATGCGGGAGATCAACACGAAAAACGTTTAAAAAAATAAATGAAATTAATCCTTGACAACCACGGCAACAACAACTCGTAGAATGAAAAAAGGCAGATTTACAACAAAAATGTTGCATTACATCAATGATAAGCAATCTGGGAAAGGGCTATGGCAGGGGCAGGGCAGCCATGTAGTAAAAAAGGAAGGGAAGTAATTTATGGGACAAAAAACTGGGCAAAAGAGGAGAATAATTTAAAAAAAGTTAAAAATAAAAAAAAAAAAAAATTAAAAAAAAAATAATTAAAAAAATATTTAAAAAATAATTTAAAAAATATTTAAAAAATAATTTAAAAAAACATCTTTCCAATTTTGTAATTTAATTAATTTTTTATTTATTTTTTTAATTTTTATTTATTGTTTTTCATTTATTTTTTAATTTTTATTTATTTTTTTGTATTTTTTAATTTTTATTTATTGTTTTTTTTTTATTTTTTTAATTTTTTTATTGTTTTTTATTTATGTTTTTAATTTTTATTTATTTATTTTTTATTAATTTTTATTTATTTTTTAAATTTTTATTTTTTTATTTAATTTTTATTTATTTTTTATTTTTTTATTTAATTTTTATTTATTTTTTTTTAAATTCTTATTTATTATTTTTTTTGAATTTTTTGATTTTTTTTTATTTTTGAATTTTTTTTTAATTTTTTTGAATTTTTAAATTTTTTAATTTTTTAATTTTTTTTTTAATTTTTTAATTTTTTTAATTTTTTTGAAATTTATCAATTTTTTCAATTTTTTCAATTTAAAGCAAAATTTTATTTTTTTTTTTAGTTTAAATTTTTTTTCAATTTTTTAGTTGGCTTCCTCTTGGACATAAAGTTGTTTATTTTCCAGAGTTGTTGTTGGTTTTTTATGAATAAAAATCATGAATTGAAAACCTCTCGTAATGGGATATTTTGAACCTTGGCACAATACACCCAGAGGCCGGAAATTTATAAAACAAAAGAACAAGAAAAAACGTAAATGGAGAACCAGAAGAATTGGGGAGGATTTGAAAACAAAATAAGACACAAGTGTCAACATATCACATTACGAACCCAAAGAGAGTTAGGCAGGGAGGGGAGAGAAAAACCAGAATTAACCAGAAAACCCGGTTTCGAAAAAAAGGAAGCAGGATATGGTTTAGAGGGTAATAGGGATCCGGAAAAAGGATATAATATTAATAAACAAAAAATACTTACTGCGTGAACGAGCATTGGCTGTATTGTTGGTATCATGTAAAGCCTCCACAATTAAGGTAAAGGTGCCCTGTAAAAGAGATAAGAGAAAAAAATTAGATTACAAATTTTGTTATAAATTTCAAAATCAAAAACCAAACAAAAGAAAAAAACTTAATTTATGTAAATGCGATTTTATTTTCTTAACGCCTTCAACAAAAAAAAAACGAGAAGACTTAACAAATATTACAAAATTCAAAAAACGACACCCACACACACTCCAACAAAGTTATAAAACTGCAATCGAAGTCTTAGTAGTCGGATGAGATGTGATGATGCGCAGGCGCAGCCGCCGTTGTACATTTAAAATGCAAATGCACAGCCAGCAAGCAAAGCTGCTAGCGCGCCCTCAATTCACACTTGATTACACACACAGAGAGTAATAGAAAACTACTACTCCCCTCACATCTCAAGATATCTCCTCCTCCCCTCCTCGCTCTGATAACAACCATTTGTCTTGTTTGAAAGTATAAGTTATGCATGTGAATCGACGACTATTTTGAATAGACACGAGAGATGACACCACCACATAGCGCAAAACCAGACTCAAGAGGAGGCTTAAGCTTGGCAATAAATAATCCGACAAAAAACAGCAATAAAAAATGCAGAGGTGTTTTTGGTAAAAGTTTCTTTTTGTAAACAGCTTACATTTAGCTAATGACAAATTTTATTTTATCGGAGGAAAACTTTCGATTTTCATATTACAACAACAATAAAAATATTTATTTTTTGATAAAATGCAATTTGAGTGTGGGTTGCAATTTTGTGTGTGAGTGTGTGTGGAGGAGGGAGAGGAACAAGTTTGGCCTAAGTGAAATTAATTTTATTTAGAAAAAAGATATAGAAAAAAATATTTTTTAATAAATGAAATTAATTAAAAATAAATGAAAATTGAAATTTTTATTTAAAAAATATTGAAAAATTTATATTTTTTATTTTTTTTATAACAAAAAAATAAAAAACATTTAAAAAAAAAAATTAAAAAAAAAAAAAATTAAAAAATTCCAAAAAAAAAAATTATATGAATGCCAAAAATATATAAAATATGTAATAATGTCAAATAAATAAAATAATTTTATAAATCCCTTTAAATTTACACAAAAATCCCAAGGGGGGATTTTTTATTTTTACTTCAAAATTGTCAATTTTAATTTTCTTGTGTTCAAAATCAATTTTTATACGATTTTATGCAATTTTTTGCAATTGGGGATTTTTTCCCCACTCAGGGGATTTTTCCCCGCCGACGGGATTTTTGAGATTTTCATGGGAAATTAATTTTTCGAGCTCTAGAATCTAGAAAAAGGCTATTTTTACTTTAAAATTCCCAAAAAAAACAATTTCCCCATATTGGGGATTTTTTTCTTTATTGGCGGGATTTTTGAGATTTTCATTGGAAATCAATTTTTCGAGCTCAATAATGTAGAAAAGGTTTTTGTTTCTTCAAAATTCCGAAAAAAACTATTTTCCCCACCAGGGGAATTTTTTCCCCATTTCAGGGGATATTTGAGATTTCAATGGGAAATTGATTTTTAAGGCCCAATAATGCAGAAAACAATTTTTTTCTTGAAATGTCCCTAAAGTATATTTCCCCACTGAGGGAATTTTAACGGCCTTTCAGGGGATTTTTGATATGGATTTTTAAGGGCTTGGTGTAAAAAAAAAATATTTTTTTCCTTTGAAAACTAAAAAAAGTTTCCTTTGAGGTATTTTTAAAAGGGGAAAAATATAAATTTTTAAATTGTCATTTTTAATGGCTTTTTTGTTGTTGTTCTGCCACTACTTTGTTGTAATGTTAAATTGTCACAGCTGATGAAATGAAATAAACAGAAAACTATTTCCTTTCGTTAGGCATGAGTTAAATTTTGTAAAAAACAAAAAACGAAACAAAGAAGTAGAAAAGAACTTGAACCTGAACGTCGAAGAAGTAGAAGAAGAAATAGAAGGGAGAAAAAAACTCCCCCTTTTTGTGGCAGGCAGCGTCATTACAGCACGTGTTTTTCGTACGTAATGGAACATTTCATGATCTCTAGAGTATTTTTACTTCGCTACAATTAAAGAAAATGATCGGGGAAAAGAAGAAGAAGAAGGCGGCGGCGGGAGGGATCAAGAAGAAGAAGAAGAAAATAGTTCTTTGTTAACAAAATAACTTTACTTTTGTTGAAGTTTAACGCTTCAGTGAAAATTTGTTAAAAACAAAAGGTACAGGGAGGGGGGGAAGAGGCATTAGCATTTCATGCATGGTCTTCCACACCTTCCCTGAGGAGGAAGAGCAGCATGGTGGTTTCTTTCATACAGGTAGATAGATTAGTTGCTGTTATTTTTTTGTAGTTTTTTATTTAACCGTTGCAGCTCAAACAAATTCACTCAAGCCTTACACTTGAACATGTATGATGGTTGCTGGTGTTGGTTGGTTGGGGTGATTAGGTTTTGTTTTTTGTAACGTCTTTTCTCCCCCTTACCTTTAGGAAAAAAGTTCAAGTCATGCTTGCTATTAGTTGTTGTCATCATTAGTCTTGAAGAAATTTTCTTTCTAGAAAAGGGAGGATTGATTTTTTTTTTCGAAAAAAAAATTATGAAAAAATTTACATTTTCATAAAAAAAATATTGTAGAGAAATTTTTTTGAATTACCACCACGTGCCCTGCTAATTAAATTCCTTGACCTAAAATCCAAATAGATTTTAGCATGACTGACTTCTTCTGGAAATGATAATGTGGCTATTTTTAGTTGCCTTTCAGAAAATCAAGGGAGAGGAATGGTTGGTTGGCTGGCGTTTGGCATCAAGCATTGTTTGGAATGCCATCAGCATGCAATGTTGCCTGGCTGGCTTGCTGCTATTTTCAGAATCAAGAAAACCAACTCTTTATCCCAAAAATATACAACTTCTAGAAGGGGTGATAATTCCAACTCCTCGAAGGAGGATGAGATGAAGGTGGTGGTAGGTTGGTAGATACCAACAATCTTTTCCATTGAACTTTACACTTAAGTGTATTTTTAAAAAAATAATTTACATGGCAGTTGTACTTCTCGACATGTCTGCCAAGCAGCCAGCCATCCAACCGATTCGATTTCAGTTGTTAATGTCTTGAAAAAGGGGGAAGAGAGACATTCAAAAGAATCCAAAGGGAGCAACATGTAACTTCTTCTTCTTTGGCTGGATGGCTAAAATATCCGCCTGACAAACAGACGTCGCCGTTTTGCATGGTGTGGTGTGGTGTGGTATGGTGTGCCACCGCTTGCTGTCTGTTATTTTAGTGTCATTGATAATTTAAAGCTCCTGCTGTCTTTTTGTGCTGCTGCTGCTCCTCCATTTTCATTTTTAAAAGATGTTGACGCATTGATATAGCATCTTGAAACACGCGATCATTTGTTGGTGGTGTTGTTGTTGTTGTTGCTTTTTGTTGCAAATTAATTTTTGAAAAGGAAATATATTTTCCTCTGCTCCCTCGCTCTCTCCTCCCTCTGTCATTTGGAATAGGTGTTATGAAAGCAGAAATCTGCATTTGAACCTATTTTTTTGGCTAGGGATTTTGCAGTTGTGTGAATGTGTGTGTTTGGCCCAATGTCTGCTTGATTTCCTGTCAAGCCCCTTTTAACAAAAAAAAAAAATCAATAACAAAAATATGTTTTGGCATTTACCTTTCAATTGCATGATTTTAAGCTTGAATAAAAATCCACAAAAACCTTTCAAAAAATTTAGTTTAAAAAATTCCCCAATGGCAGCAAAGCGTTAAGAATACATTTAAAAAATGAATTTTAAAAATAGCTAATGTTACCCAATCAAAGCCAAAAATATGTTTGATGTTTATCAAAATAAAAAAAATTAGAATTTATAAAAAAAAATTCAAAAATCCCCAAAATCAAAAAATCCCCACTAAGGAAATTTTCTGGTTTCCAAGGGATTTTCAAAATTCCTTTCGCAATTTAATTAATGAAAAAAATAAATAAAAATCAATAAAAAATTTTCAAAAATCCCGTTAAATAAAAAAATTACCACTCTGGGGATTTTTAATTTTTCAGGGGATTTTCAAAATTTTGTTTAATTTCTCATATTTAGCCATAGAAAAAACATTAGCCGTGAGTAATTCAAAAATCCCCTGAAGTGGGGAAAAAATCCCAGAAATGGGGAAAAATCCCGAAATTTTAAAAATTGCAAATTTCACCAAATTTTTAATATAAATGTTTTTCAATACCAAAATGACATACAATTCGTAATTTTCTAACGGAAAATATGGCATTTCCCCCGTTGGTGGAAAAAAGTAACGTATTTTTCTTCAACTTCGATGATGGTGGTGGGCTTTTTTGGGGTTGAAAAAATATCATTAAACACATTTTTATGTGTCACTTCAAATATTTACATTATAAATAATATGAGCGCGCACGCGCTACACTATTACCACCATCATCATCAGAAAATACTGCGCGCAAAGCCAGATCGCCGCCTGGCGTTGTTTCTTATCGACTCAGTCAGACAGCAGAGTCATTTTAAGGTTTACTTTTAATAGCTGACAGATGTTTAAAAATATGCTTGTTGTATGTTTCAACCCTGTGTTCTAAAGATACACAAGGCATGGCAGGGCACCACAGAGAGGGAGAGAGGGCACCAAACCCAACTCTCTATATACAACAGGGTTATTTTATTTATATAATATAAAAATTGATAAATGCTGGTGCAAATAATATTACATATCAAGAAGTGTTCTTTGAAAGGGGCATATGTTCAGGTTTTGTTGTTCTTGGGAAGCAAGGACAACAAAAATTTATTTTTTTATCAATGAAGGAGAGATAAAAACTGCTCAAGAGGAAGAGATAAGCAAAGATTTTTTTATTTACTTTTGGCAAATTAAAAACGCAAAGGGAGTTCCATTTTATGTTATTCTTTTTTATGGCCACAAGACCACAAGGGAAATAACAAAAACTGACTGGCTGACAGACAACTTCTAAATTTAGAAAAAATGCAAAGCAATGCCACAAGCTACTAAATTGCCTCACTCTCTGAGAGAGCAGCAACAGGAAATTTTCTTTTCAAAACAGCAAAAATTATTGTCAATACAATTTTCTGGTGCGTGTGGTGTTGTTGTTGTTTGTTTCTGATTTTCTATAAAATTAGGTTATTTTCGTCTTAGGAAAATGCTTCCCGTTTTGTGCGTCTAAAAATATCGAAAAATTTTCTTTTTTGTTGTTGTGTTTACTACTTACCGGCCATGCAAAATTGAAGGCAAATTGTATGGGATTGGAGAAATCTTTATTTTGTAGGGCCTGTGAATCGGTTAAATTAACGGAATTTTCACCCAATACAGGTGTCACGACCACACCATAGGTACACTGTGATGTTGTATCGATTGTCGCTTGATAATGTTTCAGACACACGCGAAACCATGTTTTACAACCGCCAATACATTTACCCGTCGCCGGATCCGTTTGCCCGCTACAACAGTGACCTTCACTGTCGCGACCGTAATCATTTTTGAAATATTTTAAACGTAATTCGAATAGGCCGGATGATTGAACCTGGAATTAGAAAAAAAAAATGAAAAAAATTATTAGAAAATGTTAACAAACAAAATAAATTTTAAAAATCTTAAGAAAAAAATTTTTGGGAAAAATTTCCCTAGTGAAAAAAATTTTTGGGGGAAAATTTCACTAGTGAAAAAAATTGGGGAAAATTTTCCCTAGTAAAAAAATTTAAAAATCTTAAGAAAAAAATTTTGGCGAAAAATGTCCCTAGTGAAAAAAATGTTGGGGAAAAATTTCCCTAGTGAAAAAAAATTTGGGGAAATTTTTCCCTAGCAAAAAAAATTCCAAAATTTTTAATTTTAATGTCAAATAACGAAAATAAAAATTGGGGAAAAATTTCCCTAGTGAAAAAAAATTTGGGGAATATTTTCCCGAGTGAAAAAAATCGAAAAATTACATTTTTAATGCAAATGCTTAGAAATTCATAAAAAAAACAAAAAAAAATCAAATTTTGAAAAAAGTGAAAATTTTCACTTGTCGCAAAATTTTGGGGAAAATTTTCGAAAATTTTTATTTATTTTTTTCTTTAATTTTTCTATGAAAAATAAATGAAATTCCTTTAAAAGAAGGATCTTCTTATGAATTTAAGTTTTTGTTGTTGTTTATTTTTGTTAAAACTTTGCGGTTGTGTCGTTTTTGTTGTTGTTTGAGGGAAAAATTCCAGCTTTTGCAACAAGACGATAAATCTTTCAGTATGGTATTTAACCAAAAATGCTACAAAACTGCAACAAAAAGCCAGGCAGGCGGACTGGCGAACAACCAGCCAGCCAAGCCACAACCAAAGCCAGCCAAAGGACAACCCAGACCGCGACCAGTCGTTTCATTCTTGGCTACATTTTTGTGTTAGTCACAGTCACCAAAAAAAAAAAAAACACAGATGATGATGGCTGGCAGACAGACATTAAGCTGCTGGTAGCAAATGTAAGAATTTCAAGAAAGCCAAAACACAGAACTGAAATTCCTGGCAAAAAAAATGTTTTTTGAAAAATTTCCAAAAATCGAAATGTTTATAAATAAAATAAAAAAATATTAAATTTAAAAATATGACCGTTTTGTCGGCCATTGAACAAAATATTATTGCCATATAAATTATTAAACAAAATGGTTGGTTAATTAAGGCAAAAAAATAAAATCGAATAAAAACATTTTGTTTATGGCCAAAATATGTGAAAATTATTGTAATTTTTTTTAGGAGGGGACCTGATTAACAACAAAATCGGACCAATCGATATCCATATCGTTACCGCGCTGTAGCAATAAAGATGTCTCTTAATTATCAAGATTGAAATTCTGAATAATTTAAAAAAAAAAATTTTGGACTTGTTTTTGTGTGTTTTTATTGCTGTACGGCTGTCAACAACTGTTTCAGAATACAAAATGAATTTCAATTTAATAAATGATTTATAAAACCTTAAACTTGTTGTTGTTTTCCCCAACCTCCTCTGAACTCGAATGAATAAAAACAAAAACGTTGGATGGTGTAATTATGACACTTGTTGGAATGAAAAACAAAGGCATTTAAATGGTTAATTAAGTTAAGCCGTATATGGTTAAAAAGTGTAGCACACAACAACAACATGAATGATGTCTAACAAGTGTAAGAGTGGCCAGAAAAAAATAGGCCTTAAAATGGAGTAAAATACTCTTGAGATTATGTACGTACGTATGCCACAAGATTTTTTTCTTATAACTGTGTTTTCGAAAAAAAATCGTAATAAAAAAATTACCAAGAAGAAAATGACAATTTAATTGTGTGCACAATGTTTAAAAAATAAAAAAGGCCGGTAAAAAGCGAGAGGTATGAGACCCAGCCAGCCAACAATTGTTATGGAGGGGAAAAAGTGCTGGCCGACCACACACTTTTTAGCCATGTGAGTACCTTTGTTGTAATAAAACATGATAATGACTTAATTGTTAATTGTTTTTGATATTTTTTTTCGAATGAGAATTTTAATCCCAAGGAATTTAATGAAAAAAATTAAATTTTTTGTTTTAAAAATTGTAGGAATTTTGGATTTTCTATTAAAAATAAATTGAAATAAATAAGTTTTATATTTTTATATTATATTTTCTTATTTTTAATATTTTTTATTTATTTATTTAAATTTTTTTTTTGTAATATTTTTATTTTTTTCTTCAAAATTTCCCTTTTTTCTTAAATTACTGTGGCGCCTAAACCTTAAACCATTTATTTATATAATGGACTTAAAATCTTAAAAAAAATAAATAGAAAACAAACCCCATTTAAGTAACAAACATGAATCATTAACGAACGAAAAATTCCCAACCAAAAAAATCGTTAACCAAAACTCCCTTTACAAAAAAATAATAGACAAAAAATAGGCCCAAAAATAATAATAATGATGGGCAAACTCCCTACCCAACTAAACCAAACTAACACAACAACAACAGTAATGTTGATGAACGAACGAACAAACGACGACAGCGGCGGCAGCAACAGTCGTCAGCCATCCAAACGAGAAACAACTAAACAACCTTAAGACAAAAAAAACACAACAAGAAGAAGACGAAGAAGAAAAAAACACTACAACATTAACTTTAGAACACAGCAAGAAGAAGAATAAGACAACAACAACAAACGTTATAAAAATGTGTAAAACTCCTCGATTTAAGGCTAAAAACAGCAACGACAACAAAACACCAAACAACAAAAAAACGAAGGCAAGAGATGAACAACAACAACAACTACTTCTTTTACTCCTCTAAGCAACAGCAAGACATATGGACACAACAGACAAGGTACACGGGGACCAAAAGCAACAAAGAAACGACAGACAGCCAACCAGCCAGTAAGACAGGACAGACGGACAGACATACCAACAAACCAACTAACAAAAGTGATCCAAGCAGCACACAGCCAGTCATACACATTTTGCCTGTTGCTTGTTGCTCTAACTCCTCAATATCATCATATTGCGCTGCTGGCTGGCTGACTTGGCTTGGCTGGCTTAAGCACACACAAAGCTTTAAAAATAAAATAACAACAACAAATACGACAACAACTACAGCACACAAAAAAATGTTTCAAGTAAAACCGAATTGTTTCCCACGGCATACGATTTGCCGGTCAACATACATATACATTGATGACGATGACGATGTAGACGGCAACGATCGTTGTCATCATCCGAATGATCATTAATGGCTAAACATGATTATGCAGTAATATGAAAACAATAATGAAGCTCTCGCCACTCTCAGAGAGAGTCACTTCTAAACGGATATAATTTGCAAAGACAACACAACACGAGGCAAGCACCAGCAATACTATGCACAGGGAGTTTGCTATTTTTGTTAGCCTCTTCTTCTTGTTGCCACCATAACAACAACACGAAAAAACTGCAAAGCAGATGATGATAATGATGAGGAATAGGAAAAACAAGTTTTCAATTTCATATATAAATAATATGATTACAAACTTTTCTACAGCTGGCCTCATATAATCAAGTTTCTTCTTTTGCACTGCAAATACTCTATGGCTTGCTGTTTCTCTCTCTCAGTAACGACTCTCATTCAATTCTATGATCGTGAAAATATCAACGGGTGTTTTTGGTCGTGTTATTAAAAGCCTTCGGGCAATAAAGCAGTTATAAAAGGAGGTGGTGGTGGTGGCTGGCTTAACAGCTGTATGTTATGTTATGGCAACCAACCAACAACAGCATCAAGTGTATGCATGAGCATGTGTGTGTGTTTGTTGTGTGTGCATGATTTTGCATTTGCAAAAACACACTGAGGCAGGCACTGTTATTGATATTTCGTTAATGAATTGTGGATGGAAAGAAGAAATACATATTGAACAGTGTTCTGTAAATGAACATAACAGAGAACCGATATAATGTGTGTGTGTGTGGCAGAAGAGAAAATGTAATTGATTTGAGAGTAGTTGTTGTAGTAATATGGTGGGATTGTGTTAGGTGTTATCTATTGAAGAGGAAATGCAATGCATTTTTTGGTGGTAGGGTAAAAATATCAATTAAGGGGGATTTTATGGTAATAAAAAAATGAGGAAAAATATGGAAAATTATTAAAAAAAAAACTGGGGAAAAAATAGAAATTAGAAAAACCAAAAATGGAAAAAAATTAAAATTCAAACGAAAAGTTTGAGGAAATATTTTTTTTTATAAAAAAAGAATATTTTTTTGGATTAAAAATGTTGAATATTTGAGCCATATAAACATCAAAACAAAGTAAAAATTGAATTTTTCTGTATTTAAAAAATACTGTTTATTTTCCTTTAATGGAAGTGATGCAAATGTGGTATAGGTTGGTAATGTGGTATAGTCACTTTTTTTGTAAACTGAAAATTTTAGAATAACTGAAACATGTTCTATAGTTTGCTGTTCTCAAAAAAATAAGATAGCAATGACCTGTTTAATTTATTTAAATCACGTTGAGAATCAGTACCAAAAATAAAATTTTTCATGAAATTTACTTTTTTTCGGTTGAAGTTTAAAAATAATTTTTTGTTTTACGGATGTACTTTAATCGTTATTACTAAAGCATTAAAATAATCAGTATAAATTAAAAATCAAATAATATGCGCGATTGCACCATATAATCACCAATTTGGAAAAAAACTAGACATTTCTTCAGTAAACACAAGTGTAGGTAATGTGGTATACCTTGGTTCTGCATGAAAAAAGGCCAGCACTAGACAAAATCTCATTACTATGTGAAACATTTGTACTCTACGAGAGTCTACCATGAATCACAAGGATGAAAAACAAAGGCTATGAGTTTTAACAACTTCTCCATACAAAAATTAAATATTGACATGTGTATACATTATTATATAATAAAAATTTAAGTTCCACTCAACGTATCCGTTAAAAATCTTAACAGACATAAATCTCGAGCTAATTCGCATTCATTAAAAACAATAAATTATTTAAGATATCAATTGGAAGTGAAAATTATACTATACCACATTAACATCATGTGGTATACCACATTACCTGCACTTTTTTTTAAATCACTTTTTATGGGATTTCAAATATTTTCTCAAATATCTCTTAAATTGTTAGAATAATATTATTTTCAAACTGATACATGGAAAGACAACACATGTAGCATGTTAACTGCAAAATTTCAATTTAATCGGATAAAAAATAAAAATTTGGCAATCTAAAAACAAATGGGTATACCACATTTGCATCACCTCCTATACCAAAGAAAAATCGTGCAAAAAAATAGAAGAAAAAATCACTCAACCTTAGCATTACCAGTTCTTTGATTATAATAATATTTTTCTTTTTTTGCCATGAAAGAAAAACAAGAAGAAGAAGAAAAAAACAACAATTAATGAAGTAGTTGTAACAAAGAAGAAGAAGAAGATGAAGAAAAAAATTCAACGCTTGTGACAGGTTGAATTAAAAAATAACTCTAACAAATAAATTCAAAGAGGGACGGGCGAAGCTAAGCTACCTGCCACACATGAAGTTTACATTAATAATTTATAACAACAATGGCAACACACACCACAGTTATGTGAAATTAAGCCATGGAAGAAAAAAAAACAGAAGAAGAAAAATTATGATTATGAGATTTAATTAGAAAAGTTCAAGTAGGAAGAAAATTATTTCAATTCTAGCACAAATATTTTTTTCAGATAACTGTAAAAAGTTTTGAGCTCTTTTTTAGAGAAAAAATTGAAGGAAAACATCTGTTGTTAATTTTTTGCCTACTTATGTCAAAATATAATTTAAATTTAAACTACATGTCATGCCTGTTTTTTTTTTTTCTTGAGTGTGACAAGTTAAGGTTCCAGCTGCTAAGTAGAAGTACAAAAACAAACGTGATATAAGACCGCAGGAGATATTTTTTGAAGTATGAAATGTGCGTACCAGAGAGGACAACAAGATAAAAGACCTGCAACAATTAAGTGCCATGAAGAAGAAATACACACATATTTCGTTTGCAACAGGAGGCCGACACAGGGCTTTTAAGTATCATCCTCATCATCAGCCTGCCTGCCTTACCACCAGCAAGCCAAGCCAACCGTCTGTGGAGCCAAGGCAACAACACATGCAAATGTTTTTTTTTTTTCTTTTTACATTTTTTATGGGCCCCAAAGAGTTTGACTTACTTTAAGCCAAAAAAAAATATAAACAGGCATTGCCGATCATGTTGACCTACGCAAAGAGCCTGACAAGCAGAAACAACAACAAAAACAACCAGCTTATATCATTAACAAATTAAGTAAAAAGCAGATGTTTTTGCTGATGCTTCTTCTTATTCAAGGAAAGAAGCAGAAAATTGCCTTTAAGAAAAAATTGTTTTTTCAGTGGCATATGAAGTGAAATAAAGTTTTGAAAAGCAGCTTGAAGGAAGACCAAAAACAATATTTTCTTCAAATATGAAAAAATAAAAATACCAGGGAAAATGTTGAAATACAATTTTTTAATATAAAAAAAAAATTGTGAAAATTTTCAAATTTTTTGATAATTTTTATTTTTCAAAATTTCAATAGAAATTTTACAAAAATGAATGAAATTTTGAACATATTTGTGAATTTTTCAAAATAGAGTTTGAAATTTTCTATTTCAATTTTTCCAATTTTTATTTCTTAAAAATATCACAACTTCGATTTCCCCCGGTTGTGATATTTTTTGGTTATTTCTACCAAAAAAACCTTTTTGGGGGAGTTTTTTGGTAATTTTTCTACTCGCCGAGACAGGTAGATTTTTTTGCCCGGTCCATTATTCTAGTAATGAAAACCCTATTTGAGACATGTGTTTCCGGTTAATTGTTGCAAAGGAAACACCCTCTCTTCGTTTCTCCTAAAACAATAGAGGGGGTGGTGGAACGAAATAATGATCGATGATGTTTTCGGTAACAAAAAATTAGAAGTTTTCCAAAATTTTAGGAAATTATTTTTTTTTTTTGGGATTTCGAAACTTACCTCATGAATAATAAGGGATAGCACCAAAAAGGCAGCTAATAATAATTTAATCCAATGCATTTTGAAATTTGGAGGTGTTTTTTTATTTTGCAGGAGAGCGTATGAAGTTTGCTTTTTTGCTGCTTCTGATGATGTTTAGAAAAACTTTGGTAATCCTTGTTTTTCTAAAAGACTGCTGATCTCTCCGAAGTTACGGGAAAAGCAAACACAAACGCTTTTCGTTGGTGTAGGGTAGGAGGTAGGTGTTTTTTCGATTTTAAATTTTTTTCGTTCTCAATTTTTTTTAAGAATCCGTTTTGTCGTTTCAACACTCCGTCGTTAAAAAAGAAATTAATTTTCTTTTTTTCGATAAAAGAAATTATAAATTAATTTTTATCTGGTTTTATAAAATTTCTTTAAAAATCTTCATTTTCTTTTCGATGATTTTTTTGTTTGTTATAAAAAACAAATTGTAGTAGCGTAAAAATTATTGAACGACGACGTAAAAATCGTACGCAAAAAAAAAATTGTCACGTTATTTCTTTTTCAGACGGCACATGGTTTTTGACATTTATTTTCTTTTTTGCTGGTGGTTTTGTTGTTGTTGTTATTTGTTAGAGTTGGTATGCAAAAGTAACGGTATTGCAAAAAACCAAAATCTATTTTTTTCTTCTCAATAAATTGTCAAAACTTTTCTTAAGAAACACGTTTTTTGTTTAATTAAAATGTTTATTATTATTTTTTTAATAACTTTTTTCAATACTATTATTTTTCAAAGGAATGTGTTTTATAATTTTTTAACAGTTCTTATTTTTTTAACTTTCATTCAATTCAGTTCTTTATTTTTTTCTTATAAATTTCTTTCAAATAATTTTCTTTTTTTTTTAATATTTCACTTTTTTGTTTATTTTCAAACTTTATTTCGTGCAATTTATATTTCAATTTTTTTGTATTGTAAATTACAACAAATGCTTCTTCTTGTATTTTTCTCTTAAAATAAATTTCAAGTTATATTATTGTAGTTAGTTTTGTTTGCTTCACGGTGGTTTCACGACCCGACGACGTTTACCACTCAAGCTACAATTTGAAACTGACGCTTAATGAAGTTCTGCGAACGCTGCTCGGCCGTAATAAAATGTTAAACATGTTTTTCGGTGTGATGGTGGTGGTGGTGGCTCGTCGTTCTTCTTCTTTTGCCTTGTTGTCCCTCATGAATGCATTACAACAGCAGCAACAACAACAACACACATTGATGCGCTCATTCATTCATTGTTCACGATGGCTAGCAAGCCTTATGCACAGGCAAGCCAACGAACACACACACCCACCCCTACTCAACCGAAATCATACACAGAGAGCGAGAGTGAGAGAGAGGTAATCAAACAAACAACAATGCGTTATTGAGTAGTAACATGTATTTGTATTGGGAGCAGATGTTTTCTTTTTGCCTTACCTCTGTAATCTCTGAGTGTAACTGATGGTGTTCTCAAATGTTGTTTGTGTTCTCTATGCATCTCTTGGACGGTTTGAGTTTCTCATTGTGGATTGTGTGAATTTATGCTCGCAATGGCGTTGCCATTGTACAGAAGGGGAAATGGGGAATTTGTTGGTAAAGGAATTGTGGAATTTTGCATGGTTTGAGTAGAAGCAAATTTCTTGGGAATGTAAAAAAGGACTCAAGGCACCTGTAGTGAAGTAAAAAAAGTAGAATAGTCCTTTGAAAAAAGAAGGCCTTTAGTATATTGGCTATTTTAAAATAAAATAAAGAAAAACTGTGACGAATTTATGATTTATTTATTCCAATGAAAATCTCTTTAGAACAAATAGTATAGTATTAATAGATCTTGAGAAATAGCTTCATGAAATCAATAGAAATTCGCCTGATGTCTTTCAATATTTTTTATAAAAAACACAGTTTGAAGAAACCAGAAAACCAACATAATTTTATGGAATAATATTATTTTTGCATAGGTTTGAGTAAATTTATTTTTCGAAAAAAATATACTCCATAGAGTCTACAATTTGTTCCTGCTTACAGGTGTCTCAATGTTATCCTTAGTACAGAAAATAGGTTACCTGTTTCTTTTTGATTTGTTGTTGTAAAGGACTATAATTTGAAAAAAGTGTGACGAATTTTCGATTTTCTTTTCATATGAAAACCTTGACTTTAAGATCATTTCGATAGAACATTTTAAAATAGCAATGATTTCTAAAAATCAGGTATTCATATTTTTATTTTAAAAATCTATTTAAAATAACAATTTATTATTAAAGGAAAATATATACGGAATTGCAGTACAATTTTGCATACATTTAATTTATGGAATCTAAAATCTAAACATGAAGTATTAGGATTTTTACTTCCAAAAAAATGTATCTATATATGGAACAGTTTTGCAAACGTTTAATTCACAAGGCAACTGCAACTTACTAAAAATTAACTATTCACTATTTTGTAATCATAAAAAAATTTAAAAATTAGGAATTTATTATTTTCTGATAAATATAAATCTAAAAGATTTCCTTTCAAATATAGATGTTCCTTCAACATACCTATTCTAAATTTAGTCATATATGCATTTATTTATGAAATCTAAATAAACATTTAAATCTCTAGATAAAAAATTCTACAGACAATTTACTATTACGATTGCAAGAAATACTTTGAAGAATAGGATTTAGATTTTAATTCTAATCAAATACATTGGGTATTAACATTATTTATAGAATGATATAATAAATTAAATGTATTGTATAGATGGAAAATTAAGCTATAACAATAAAATATTAGTTCTTGAGGAGTAAAAGCTTTTGTTCAGTTTCGAAACGTAAAACTGTGTAAATGTGTTCGATTTAGAAAATAATTAAAATATATATTTAATTTAGAAAACAATGAAAACAGTAGGGCTTCTTCGTGTTCCTTTTGAAAACCAACCTACTAAAAATAGGATTTAATTTCTCTAATTTTCGCTATAAAATTTAATTTTGTTTCAGCTGGATACTATTAGGAAACATAGAAGTGATTGTCACTTTCATAACTATAGAAAATTGTCAATATTTTATGTTTTGAAACTAAAAAACAACAACAAAAATGAAAATAATTTGTTATAAATTAAACAGAAAAATGAGTGGTTTATTTTGAAAGTGGTTTAAGTCCATTCTTCCTTCAAAATGTATTCCTTTATTCATTTTCCAGAAAAAGATTTAGATTATTAGTAGATAATAGATTATTTGGCTTAACTGGTTTAAGATCCAGTTCTTGAGATGCATTCGAATAGAAAACCAATTCTATTCGAATGATTGTAGGAACTCAAATTAAAACTTCTTCTAAATCTAAAATAAAATTGATAATTATTGGTAGTTTTTTTTAATGAAGAAAACTATCTAATTAGGTGATAAACAAAAAGGTAAATAAAAATGGGAAAATATTGAACTGTTATTTCCGAAAAAACTAATCCTGAGAGACTATAAAATTATTGGTAATTATTTTTATTTGAAGAATAAATCTAAAATACTCCAAATATTTTAGTAAATGCTAATATATGAATTTTCAACTTTGCTAACGATCAAAATTCTTTGGAGAACTTAGGAGTATATTTTCAAGCTATCGTATATAATTTGCAAAGATTTTTTCCATGTGAAAATATATTTCTGTAAAAACTGAGTAATGTAAGAATAATTTTCTTATAATAATTCTTACTACTTCCAGAAAGATATTCTTGAACAATTTCCTTTAGTAAATAAATACAATAATTATAGATTTGAAATTATTCTCTTAGAAAATAATTTTAAATTGAAGATAATTAAAACCAATGAGCGGAACAGTATAGTCGGGCGGGGCCGACCATGCGATACCCTACACAACTACCACAGAACTCTATCTTTCTGCAGATTTTTATTCCGAGCCTGTATAATATTTCGTGATATTTGCACCCTCTTGCCCGATTAGAGGTTAACAGCACCTTCCTTACACTGACATATTTTCCGAATATTACTAATGTTTACTAAAACCCTTCTAATTACTTGTCCAGATTCCCACCGTGGGTTGTGTTGTGATGTTCGGCTTATAATTGTAGCCTATATATCGAATCGAAAAAAAGACACAAAATAAATTTTCGGTACACTTCATCTCAAAATTATTATCTGATCATCACCGAAAATTATAGGCGTTGTCCTTGACCATAACTGGAACCTCATGGAAAATTTCAAAGCGCTAATGGTTTATTAAATAATATCTGAATACGCAAGCACCTGTAAATATTTACTCGCAAAGCCAAGTACGTACAACAATATAATTGGTATCAATTTAAAGGCCAACCACTCCTCTTGGATACTACAAACTTCTCGGCTCTATGTCCTTCAGGAGTAAATAAATACGCTACAGAATACAAATATTGTCATTTTTCACACAAAACCCCTTCTCCATGTAAAAATTCGAGATGTTTGGGCCATAATTGCGGCATCTGGGGCGACCAGAAAAACCGACAAAAATTAGGTGTATGGAACAAATACATAAATATTAAGCGATCTTTACCAAAAACAGTAGCGGTCTTCATTGGGCCGAACCCTTGCTACATGCAAAATTTCGTTAAAATTGGTCCATAACTGTGGCCTGCATCGTGTTTAAAAATTATAATGGACAGACGGACGGACGGACCACATGTCTAGATCGACTCAGCTAGTCGAGATATGACGATCGGTATACATAAAGGTGGGTCTAGGACCATTATTTCGCGGCGTTACACACTCTTGGGGCTTCACAAAGCTATAATACCCTGACAACATGGTTGTGTAGGGTATAAAAATATATAAAAGATGGTAAAACATACTTAAATGCAACTCAAATATTCTCTTCCATAGGAAAACCCCAGAATAAGAACACATATTTCATGTATCTTAAAGAAATATTTTAATCTATCTATAGCTTTTTATAAAAAATACCTATAAATCGATTATGGACATGTCAAACAAAAAAAAAAAAAAAAAAAATCAAATAGATGCTCTCAAACATAATAGTAGTATCTGATGAAATAAATTTAAAATTATGTAATATTAGTCTGAAAAAAATTCTGAAAATTTTCCCCTAGAAAGTATTCAGATAAAGT